GGGGCGCCCAGGGTTGAGAAACACTGTTTTAGGGGAACAGTGAGGAAATCTTCTTATCCTGAAAGCTGATTTGTAATGGAGTCCCCTACGGGTCCCTGTGAGGAGGAAACCCCCTCAAAACAAAAGAGTCTTTGATACACCCTCCACATCAGTGTGTGTGTGTCAGCTGCGGGGTGGTGATGGGGTGAAGAAAGGTAAAATCTGGGCGCTTCTGCGTGAAAGTGCACCACAGGGGATCTTAGAAATACACTTATTCTGTGTGTGTGTGTGTGTGTCAGAGAATGAGGAAAGCAGAGTGCTGTGTGTCTTAAGTAGGGGGCTGCTGATGTAATTCGCTCTTATCATGTGACACCCAGTATCAGTGACAAAGAAGCCATACATTGATCTATCAACGAGTGTTTAGCCAATAAACGCATGATGAACGTCAACTCATAACATGAACCCTGGTGCTAAAGCTTCTGTAGCCCCGTCTCTCTTGATCTTGGGTGCTTTAGTGAGTAGGTGGGGTCACGTTTGCAGGGGGAAGGGTGGCCAGTGGATATACGTCAAATTTAAAGGGACAGGCTTTGTTTTTTATTTTTTTGAAGTATGTAATGTGCATTAACCTCCTTGTCTGTGTAGCCTATCAAAAATTGTCGTAATCTGTTATTTTTCCCCCTAGGAACAGAGACACTATTATTTGTAATGATTTTCAGTTAAAGTGACAAGCACCGAGTTTAGTTGTTTTAAAAAATAAGGGAATAAAAAATGTATTCATTAATATCAATTGAGCTTAGAATAAAGCGACATAAAAAAAGATGGATAAAAATTAAAATTAAGTATCAGGTTCAGTGCCAGTGGTCTCCAAAACAAAAAAGCTAATTATTTGCAAATGGTAATTGCTTAAAAATTGTATAAAAAGAATAAATACAAATAAAAACTTTATTCATTCTAAATTTATCATTGAGTTTAATGGTGTCAGAAAAACAGAAAAATATTATTAATAATAATGTGCTGAGTGTTGAGTTTAGTTGTATTTATAAAAAAAAAAATTTGAAAAAAAAGTCATTACAAATATATATATTTTTTGATATAGTTAATATTTAGTTAATATTTTATAGGTTGAGGTTTGGGTTAAAGACATCAAAAAATAATTATTAGTTAAAAAAATAATAGTAGCTAAGCATCAGGTTCAGTGCCAGTGGTGTAAAAATAAGACAGAAAAAAAATCTAATTATTTTGAAGTAATAATTGGTCAAAACAAATTTTAAGCATTAAAATGGTTAATCATTAAAATTGTCAGAAAAAAAACAAAAAGCAAATAAAAATGATTATTATTATTATTATTAATAATAGTGCCCAGCATTGAGCACAGTAGTATTTGAAAAGACAAAGCAAATAAAAATTAATTAGTAAAATTAATATGTTGAGCTGCAGAGGGGAAAAATGGCCGGCAGCTGTATGTCAAATTTAAAGAGGCAGGCTTTGTTTTTATTTATTTTTTAATATATGCAATGAGCAGAAACCTCTTTGCTTGTGTTTCCTTTCCATCATGATGTCATAATCTGCTATTTTCCCCCATTTTAGTCTGATCTTAGGATGTATGTATTTCTGCTCGCCTGTTGTGTGGATCTTATGCTATGTAATCATCGCACGATCCTTGACCCAGTTCTTTGTGCAAATGTGTACAGTGATGCACGGCGTTGGTTATACGAAGACGACAAGACGTGCCTTCTGACAGCTGATCCGACATCTGGATTTGATTTGGTGGTTTTCCTAAAGACCACAGAAACTCAATTCACGGGTCTTAAATCATCTACCCATGAAGCGTGTGGTTTGTGGCTGTGTGTTGTTTTGGTACGGGTGTTTGATGGCTAGTTGAACACACACTGGGGTTTCTGATGAGGGGGTTTTAAGTGTTTAAACATCTCATTAGGTTTTGATTGACAGGTAAATGTTCCTTGTGATCTTATAAAATCTTATGCGGCTGAAAATGTTTGTGTAATATGCTCTAATTCAGTTATTTGTTGATAGATACAACCGCACTTTTAATATCTCATGCATAAGAAAATATCAAACCTGTTAGCATATATTTTAAAGATGCACAAGCAGAACATTTTTCAAGTTGTTTGCAATGCATCATTTGTTTGCATGCATTTCGTTTTCTAATGCATTAATGTAAATACTGTGCATTAAAGGCATAGAAAAATTCTCTCATCATTTACTCATCCTCGGGTTGTTCCAAACCTGTATGAGTTTCTTTCTTCTGTTGAACACAAAAGAAGATATTTTGAAGAATGTTGGTAACCAAAATCTTGACTGTACCGTCAACTGTTTGGTCAAGAAAATGCATTTCAGTCTCTTCCTTTCTGTGTTTTCTGTCAGGAGGCAGTCAGGCGGAGGTGGAGACTAGAGAGTGCGTCTACTACAATGATAACTGGCGGACGGAGAAAACCAATCAGAGCGGTTTTGAGAGGTGTGAGGGGGAGAAAGACAAGAGGCTGCACTGTTACGCCTCCTGGATGAACTCCACCGGAACCATCCGCCTGGTCAGAAAAGGCTGCTGGCTCGATGACTTCAACTGTTACGACAGGTAACATCAAAACCTCCTTTATATAATGGCACTGTTTGATTCAACTGCCTTTTTTCATTGTTGTGCCAAACAAGTTTTAAGGACATATTTAAAAATTCTTAGTTATTTAATTTATTGTCTTATCGCAGGTTTCATTTAATGTAACAGTCAGAAGTTATTTAAACATACTGTTGTTTAAAAGTGTGGGGTCAATGAGATTTGTGAATCTTTTTGATGCTCTTATACCCATCAAGGCTGCATTTGTTTTACAATAAATACAGTAAAAATGGTAATATTGTGAAATATTATTATAATTAAAAATAACTGCTTTCTTTGTGAATATATTGTAAAATGTAATTTATTCCTGTGATGCAAAGCTGAATTTTCAGTGTCACACGATCCTTCAGAGATCATTCTAATATGCTGATTTGTTGCTCGGGAAACATTTCTGATTATCAATGTTGAAAACATTTTATTCTTAATATTTTTTTATAGAAAGCATGATACATTTTTTCAGCATTTATTTAAAATGGTAATCTTTTGTAACATTATAAATGTCTGTACTGTCACTTTTAATCAATCAATGTTGATTTTAAAAAAAATATATAAAAATCTAACTGACCCCGAAGTATAGAAATCAATAGCTATCAATTCATTCTTTTAATGTTTGTAAATAAAATCATTTTGTTCCAAACTGTCGGGGAAAATTAAAGTGCTCGAATAGCTTTGAAACACAAGAAAAAACATGTTTGTTGGTTATAATATAAGCTTATGTAATTAATGACAGAATTAATTAATTTTTCTGTTGAGTGTCCCTTACATGGTTGCTGTTTTGAAACCAGCAGTTTTTTCCAGCCAAGAGCCATATTCTCTTGTGAAAACGTCAAATGAGTCACATTAGATATTGATCAGTGAGGATTGTAAACTGTTTTGAACAGCTGAAAACGATGGTGTTTTTGCATATGTGCTTTCCTCGCAGACATCAGTTACTACATTTAGATTTATTTCTCTTTAATTTAGCAATTCATTCAGTTAAGAATTCATTCAACAGCCCGTACCATTTTACTACGACTAATTTTAGATCTACCCCTTTCATCACTGTTTTCTCTGTGTGTGTGTGTGTGTGTGTGAGAGCAGACAGGAGTGTGTGGCCACGGAGGAGAGTCCACAGGTGTTCTTCTGTTGCTGTGAAGGAAACTATTGCAATGAGAAGTTCACACACCTGCCAGAAGCCATCGCTCCTGCAGGTAAACCAGCCTCCATACGTCACCTCACAGCCGTGTGGCCCGTACTTTAGGATCTTTTGCCTAAAAAATATCTGTATATGAAATGTGCTACATTTAATGGTCTTTGGTTGGCATGTGAATAGTCATAATTCTCAGTGTTTTGTTGAATAAAGCAATGTGTTGTATGTTACACTGATTTTACCATGGTTAAGAGGTGAAGCTTTAATGCCAAAATATATACAGTGATAGCAATATGATCAATATTTGCATTTGTTAACAAAAAAGTAATATCTTTTAGTCGTGTAACTGCAGGTGATGGTAGATGCAAGAGTTAGTGCATTAATATAAAATTGATGTTCAGCCATAGCTGGGTATTTTCATAATGACTTCAGTCTAAGTGATTTATTTTGTTTTTTTACACTTCTGTTATTGCTGACATTATGTTTTGTGTTTTCTCACAGTAAAGATCCAGCCTCCTCAGCCGGGGCCGTCTCTGTGGGGTGTGCTGGTTTATTCTCTTCTTCCTTTCGCCATTCTCTCTCTGGCCCTGGTGCTCGCCTGCTGGACGTACCACCAACGAAAACCACCCTACAGACACGTCGACATCGGCCAGGTCTGACAGCTATGTATATGTTTGTATCACAGTTTCCACAAAACTGTTAGGCAGCACTACTGTTTTCAACACTGATAATAATCAGAAATGTTTCTTAAGCAGCAAATCAGCATATTAGAATGATTTCTGAAGGATCATGTGACACTGAAGACTGGAGTGATGATGCTAAAAATTCAGCTTTGCATCACAGGAATATATTATGTTTTAACATATGTTCACATAGAAAGCAGTTATTTTTGTTTATAATAATATTTCACAATATTACTATTTTTACTGTATTTATGGTAAAATAAATGCAGCCTTGGTGAGCATAAGATCCTTTCAAAAACATTTTAAAATCTTACCGACCCCATGTTTTGCATATGTCTGAGTTTAAATCCTGAAATTATTATTGGGTTATGCTTGTAGTTTTATTTCAGATGAATGACTGTTGAAAAGATTTTAAGTATATTTTGCAGTTAGATCCCGAAGTTTACATTTTTGCCACACACAAGTTTATTTACTTTGACTAACTTGTACTGCTCATCAGATACTGTTTCTTATCTGTGTTTCTTTATTTGTATTTTTGTGATTAGGATGCTGGTCTTCCTCCACCGTCTCCTCTGGTTGGGCTGAAGCCGCTGCAGTTGCTGGAGTTGAAGGCCAGAGGGCGCTTTGGCTGCGTCTGGAAGGCCCAGTTACTGAGTGAATATGTGGCGGTGAAAATATTTCCCATCCAGGTAAATATTCTACTGGTGCACTATTCAAACAATATTGCTTGTGTGTTTTTTTTTCTCAAATTAAATGTGTGTGTATAGTATGGAAGCCCGTTTCCGCCACTGAATAAAAAATAAAACAAGGTAATTGCGACTTTTTATCTCACAATTCTGACTTTTTTTTTCTCATAAAAAAATTCATATCTTGAACTCGCAATTCTGAGAAATAAAGTCAGAATTGTGAGATAAAAAGTCGCAATTACCTTGTTTTATTTTTTATTTAGTGGCGTAAATGGGCTTCCATAGTATAGTGCTTGATTCTGAAATAATGTGTTCATTAACAGGACAAGCAGTCATGGCAAAATGAAAGAGACATTTACCTCACCGAGGGTTTTAAACACGAGAATATTCTACACTACATCTCAGCAGAAAAACGCGGCACAAACCTTCAGATGGAGTTGTGGCTGGTCACAGAATTCCATGAACGGGTGAGTGAGAGTTTATTTTTCCCAAAATGTCCCTAGAGAAATGACAACCCTATTGTGAGGAATAATGGACCAAATAACGTTTTAAATATGCACCAAATAAAAACCGTTGTATGTAAAGACAAGCATATAAATATAAATTTTTGGTGTTCAGTTGCATCAATTCAGAATGAATAAATAAAAACTAGGGCTGCATGATAAATCGCATGCAATATTTAATGCGCATCTTGTCAGAAAGCCGGTTCTGTAATCAGTGGTAAATCTCCATCCAGGGCTCTACAGTGCGACCATTTCAGTCGCATTTGCGACTGAAAACTACTGCGTGCGACTATGAAATTTTTTTTAGGAGCACCAGTGCAACTGACCCGATCATCATGATACTTGTGATTGTGATGGCTGAGGGGAGCTTCAAAGGTTTCTACTGTTTTTGCAGCATTGAGTAATGTATCACGGACATATCTCATGAATCCTTTCATAAGCAAAGTGTAGACAGGGTGTAAATAAGAGATTCATTGCGCAGTGTAGAGAGCTTCGTTGATTATAAATGTGAGCTCGCGATGAACTAAGATGAGTGACAGCTTTTAATGATTTTTAAGGGAGTTTGTAAATGTGATACTGATTTAATACAACAGTTCAATAAACAAGAAGTTAACATTAAGTGACTTACATTCTCTGACTATAACACTATTGTCTGATTTTGCTCTATTTCGTCGTCGAAAATAGTTTAAAACAACGAATGAACGGGTTTTTTTTTTTAAACCAATCTAGTGAGTCAGTGATTCATGATTACCCATTCATAAAGACAGTCACTTCATTCATTCTTGAATGAATCAGCCGTTCGAATGAATCAATTGAATGAATGATTCAATGATAAAATCAGTGACTTACTGCCACCTGCTGGCAGTTTGTTTCATTTTAAAAGTATCTTTTCAGTTATTTAAATAATTTAATATTTCTATATTCAACATTTTTTAAAACAATCTTAACATGAATTTATGGATTTAATTGCACTCATGCCACCTCTGATCCTCATTAAATGTCTGAAAATACACCTACAAGCCACTTTTGTGTTCTTCTGTGCCACCTCTACAAATTAATTTTGTTAATACTGATTTCATTTGATTGGTAACTTATATTTCTTATTCTACTTGTTCTTATTCTATGGTTTTATCTAGAATTTTTAAAAAGCTTATAAAATATAATTTAA